GAGAAAGTGTTCTAAATGAAGGGAAGAGGATCCCAAGGGCGGAACATACTCTCTCCTGTTGCAGGTTCTTCTGGTAATGGTTGGGTATGAATTCGGATTAGAGGGAGAAGTGAAATGGGCCTTAAATTAGAAATGAGACTGAGGATTTAAACTGGAATTATGAGCATGTTCAAGGTGTACATAAACCAAAAAAGAGAGATTTGAGAGAACATTGTTCTACATATCAATTAGAGGCAATCTGTTTCATATCTGAACTCCACTGAGCACAATTTATTCAATAAATATGTTCATGGAATGTATGACACTGATTAAATTAATTTAATGAGAATCAGGATAATGCTAATCTTTACTCTTGCTTCCTTTATTTCCTCATGGACTGCAGGACGTGAGTTGTAAGATGGATGGCTGGGCATTGCCTGAGGGACCTTCAGGGAGAGGGTACTGAATCAAAAGACAACATAAAGGACTATGATCTTAACACATTCTGTTCCAAGATGTCCTGGTGCCTCTTGGGGCATCTTTAAGGGCTGAAACGAAACTCTTGGCTTAATGAGAAATTTCATGTATTTATATTTTTTCCTTTTTTGGAAGAAAAGATTTTGTGGCTGAAATAAATTGAAATCCATTGGCCTAACTTATTTCCCAATGTAAGGTATATGCCTGCCTATCTACCTATGAAACTATCACCATTCAAAAATATCCTCAATGGAAAAAAATAAATAAAGCCAATTTCTGTGTGCCAGGCTCTGTGCCAAACTCTGGATACAGAGAAGAATAGAAAAAAAAAATGAGCAGGTTGATTTTTGTGGATTTTCTCTTTTTCTTGCTCAGAATACTCAAAGTTGCATAAAGAGTCCAGAAGCCGAAGATGATAAAAATGTTTGGTGCCATTCATGAATTTCATTTTCTACCCTAGACACTTTGGTCTGCAAAGTGTGTTGCTGGAAGATGAGAGGAGGGGAGCAGGAATATTTCCAATTATCCAGATGGCCGTGGGTTTCCTGTCTTAGCCATGTACCAATAAGTGGTTTGAGAGGAAAGGATAAATTAATATGTCAGCACATTATCTAATATCTGGAAGGGACAGATAATCGATGCTTGCCATGTCTGCCACCAGGTGTGAGTTCCTGGAGCTCTGGGTTGCTTCAATGCTGTCCCAATTTTGTGTGTACTCTTCGAACTCTGGAAGTGCCTACGGTAAAACTTCTCTGGTTGGTAATGATGAGATTTATTTGTGCTGCTTAGATTTATGGCAGGTGAGATTGTGGGACATGGGAGAAAGTCTGTCAATTTAAATTCCACAGGAAAAGAGATCTCAATGGGTGAGCAGCCACCCGTCTTGAAGAAGACGGACTCAAATCCAGGGAAGAGTCGGATTCCCCAGCCACACATTGTGAGCTGTAAAACAAATGTACTGAAAAGAAAATAGAGATTCTATTGGGAACCCAATAGACTGATTCATCTGTGTAGCATTAGAAAGAAGAAAGAAAGAAAAAAAAGCACATTTCAATTTTCTCCTTTGGCATATGGTGGTTACCTTGCCAAAGGGTAGGCAGCAGGGAATTCAGCACTTGAGAAAATGCACAATTAATTTTCCATCATCATTTTGCATTTTTCCTTTCTCCCCTCTCATTTCTCCCATCACACATTTGCAGAAAACGTCCGTTATCTATTTTGTCAGGCTTCTCTCCCACCCTTTCTTGCATTGACGCCAGGCTTCCACCTTGCTTGCTTTCAGACCTTTGTTCTTACTGTTTTCCCTCTGCTTGGAGCCCCCTTCCCTCTCTCTCACCTGGCCAATTCCCCCACCTGATTTTGGCTTCTGCTCAGCCATTACCCACTCTGAGGAGATTTTCTGCTTCGCCTGGATTGACTGCTCTTCCTCTGACTTCCCTCTACATGCTTCAGCACAGTTAGACTATTCTCTGTGCAGGAGTTCCCCACCTTCTCAAGACTGTGGGCTCCTTGAACACAGGCAGACTCTCTGCTTTAAAACACCGGTCTAGTCCTGCACCTAGACACAGGATGTGTTTGGCTCACACTTGTTGACTGACAGATGAGATGAATGAGCCCGTGTTAGTTGTGAAGAGGGCTTCCCGGGATGCTTTCCTGATGACTATGATTTAGCAATCTTCCTTGAACACCTGTCTATTTGTTGTGTTTTGTTCAATTCATCAAGCAACTCAGTCGGCTTACTGCCATGCTGAGGTGTCCCATATTGTCTGGCATAGAAATGGCCCAGTTGGACCTCGCTTCCTCCCCTAATCAGGTGGGATGACCAGTCTCTCTGCCTGCATATGTATCATACATATCGATCTTCCCAACACAGTCATCTCACCATGTTATGTGTTAGCTTTGCAATCTCCATGGCCCCTCTTGGTCAGCAGACTCAAATATCACTGCTTTAATAAGGCATCCATGTGCTTTGTTTTAGAACCCAGGTGGTCCTGCAAGCCTCGCTACCAAGTTTCTCTGCATTATTCAATTTTTTTTTGGAGAAATAACCAGAGATTTTTCTAAATGGGGAATTGGCTCATGTGAATGTAAAAGTTGAGAATTCCTATGGTCTGCCATATGTAAGCTGGCATGAAAGAGCCAATGGTATAATTAATTCATTTTGAATCTGATGCCCTGACCCTGTAAGGCAAGGGAACAGAGGATTTAATCTTAGTCTGAGGACTAAAGGAGATGCGATGAGATGTCCCATTGTTGAATATGAGCCAGGAAGGAAAAAAAAAAGTGAAATCCATCCTTCCTTCCTTCCTTCCTTCCTTCCTTCCTTCCTTCCTTCTTTCTTTCTTTCTTTCTTTTTGTTCTATTCAGTTCTCAAAGGTTTGGATGATGCCTACCCATACTGGGAAAAGCAATCTACTAAGCCCACTGACTTCCATGCTAATCTCTTCTAGAAACTTCCTCATAGGCATGCCAAGAAAGAATGTTTACTGTGGTAGCATGTTTCACTCAATGGCTGGTCAAATTGATACATAAAATTACAGCACACTCTCCATTCTCCCAGAAATACCCCAGTCACAGGTATCAAGCTGTTTTGTTGGCCAGAATGTTCTATGCTTCTCTATCTGGAGAATACCAACTCTTTCTTTAAGTTCCAGTGCAAATGTCACCCTGAGGAGCTTTTGTAGATTTCTTCAGAGAGTTCTGCTGTTTCTTTTCTGTGCAACTGTAAGAAATTGTCTTATTGACCCTAGTCTAATTGGAGAGAAATTTTACATGAGAAATTTTGTATGGTATAAGAAGCAAAGCTTTAGCCTATTCAATTATGTATATCCATTGTGGTTTCCTCTTCATACAAGTGCCCCAAGATGGATCTTCAGTTACTGCTTGTTGTCAAACAAAATGACAAACCAACAGAACACGCCAGAGAGTGTCATGCTGTAGCATGTCTCATTACTCCAGGAAAAGTGAGGGGCATTGCTTCATGTTGCTAAGGGATAGGTCTCCTCATTATTTGGGCCTCTGCTCAAAGTATCTCCTTCCAGAGGGCTTTGGTGACCATTTTGTCTCAGTACCCATTGTCCTGCCTAGTTCTTTTGTGTCACATGACACCATCTGAAATCATTTTCTGCATGTGATTGCTTGCATGAGTGTCATCACCTTTTTTCCCAGAATGTGGCCCTATGAAAACAAGGACTGAGCCTCTTTCATTTAACAGCTTGTCCTCAAGCATAGGAGTAATGCATGTCATGTGCACCAACATTTAGCAACTGGTAAATATCTCTTGTATGTCAAAACAAAACCAAAAGTCAATGAACAATCACTGGGAGCTAGTTGGAGCAGTGGTTTTCCCTCTCTCGGATAAATATGGGGAGTGGGCTTCTGGATAGGACTTGGAAATGACCACGAGTACCCCATGCAGGCTAATGTTTCTACCAAACTGAATCCATCTCAGGGTAAAATCTGAGCCGTTTGTCTCACCACACAACCAGCTGAGTGCCAAGAACCTCTGTAAACAAGAGAAGGCTTACCATCGTAACTCCTATAGGTCGGAGTCACAGGTTTCTGTGAGTGTCCCCATTTTTGACATTTTTCCCTTTTTTACCAGACTTCTTAAATATGTCAACTCTAAGCTCTTTAAAGTGAAAAGGAGGAGTAGGAGACAAAGGAGAAGGAGAGAAAGGAAAGATAAATAGTTAAAACAAATTTGTCTTCTTCTTGGACTTGGAGTTGCAGGATAGTCATGTTGGGTACATTTTACTGTGAATAAATGTGTTTCCCTTAGTGAGACAGAGCAAAAGATACAGTTCTAACCTAGCCACCAAGGCCCAGCTCAAATGTCAGCTCCTCAATGGTCATCTCTGATTACATCAGTCTTTATTTAGCTTTTTCTAGTCTGAATTCCCTATAGAATTAGCACTTCTAACTTGAACTCTTAATTGAAGTCTATCTTAAGTTAGTGCTATTTTTCAATGTCTTTGTGGTGGGCTCTGTGCTCACTCTGGACAGATGACCTACCTTTTGGATCAGTATATTATCACAGCACACTTCACTGGGCTGAGAACCTAACTTGACGACTGATGCCAAAGCACACAGATGGCCCTGGCCACAGAACTGTGCATATGTGGTTTCATTTGATCCTTTCTGACACTCTGGGGATAGATACTATTTTACAAGTGAGGAAATTGGAAGTCAGAGTAGTTGAATCATCTGCCCAAGGCTACATATCTCATAACAGCTAAAACTAGAACTCTACCAGGATTTAGCCTGTGCCCTTTCTTCTGAAACCTGACTTGGAGAATATGTTCCTGGCAGATGAATACTCAGAGTCAGGTTCATTGACCACTGATGGTGGGCATGGAATCTCGATTCTGAAACCATTACCATTCTTAGACCCATACATGCAATCCCACTTCAAACTAGCTTCCAAGTATCAGCAACAGATGATGTTCTACCTCAGGGACTGTTAGGAGGTCATGGGTAGGAAGCACTGGGTTCCATAATTGAACCAGAACAAGGGCCTTTGTGACCTGCTGTGCTTTGTCTTAGACTCAAGAGCATCCAAGGGAAAAAATCTGGAGAGAAGACTAGCAAGGAGTTTTAAGCTCCTGCCTGCAGTAGAACTGATGTCCCTTCCCTTAAGCTTATCAGAAGTTGCTGATTAGCATCTTAGGGAAAAGGTATGTGTCTTTTTTATTTGGGGAAGAACTATTTATTTCTAAATACTTGCATCTTAAAGATGGTATTTGTGATGATTAATTTTATGTGTCAACTTGACTGAGGTAAGGGATGCCCAGGTAGCTGGTAAAACATTCTCTCTCTCCCTCTCTCTCTCTCTCTCTCTCTCTCTCTCTCTGTGTGTGTGTGTGTGTGTGTGTGAGTGTGTGTGTGTGTGTGTGTGTGTATCTAGAAGAGATTGGCATTTAAATTGGTAGACTGAATAAAGGAGATCTACTCTTATCAATTAGGTGAGTATATTCCTAATGTTGAGGGTCTGAATGGAACAAAAGCAAAAAGATAAGGTGAGTTTTCTCTTCCTGGGCTGAGATGTCTATTTGCTCCTGCCCTCAGATATTATCACTACTGATTCTTAGGACTTTAGACTTGGTCTGGGAGTTATGCCATCAATTTCCCTGGTTCTTAGGGCTTTGAACATGGAATGAAAGAATATATATATTTATGTGTTCATATGTATGTACATATATAAAATATGTGAAATCTATTAAAAAATAGATTATATAAATATATAATCCACTTTATAATATATACATTTTCTATGAATATATATGCTTCCTATAGTTCTGTTTCTCTGGAGAACCCTAGATGGTACAGTATTTTTAAGTTACTTTTTTTAAAACACAGAATTATGAAGAAAATGAAATCTACTTTTATAGAAAGAGGCTGGATACACGTTATTCCTGGTTATCTCTGTTAGAGAGATTATTAATTTCTACATATATGGCTTTATTTGTATACAATTTTGCATCTTTCTTTATTTATCTAGCACATCATAAACTTTCCTTTGTCCTTAAATAGTCTTCATGAGCATAATTTTCATTGGCAGCATCATAGTTAGTTTATGGGCATACTATAATTTACTACCATTTTTCTAACATTTGGTCATCAAAATTGTTTATGGTGTCATGTTTCACTGAGTGCCTATCAGCTGTGGTGGTGATTTTGTTTATATGGTGGTCACTGGGAGTTTACCCACCTATTAATTATCCTAAGATCATCTCAAATCATCATCATCCAATGACTTTCTGCATTTCTGTATATTTGTCATGTAATGATACCATATGAGCTCTTGGGAAACTCTCAGGGGAGGTCATTATGGCTGAACAATAGTCCGTGTGGATTTTAAACATAGTCTTTGGCACACTTATGCTTTCAAGGAAAGGATTGCTCTCTCATAACTAAGTTTTCTGAGTTAATGCAGTTCTCCAGGGAGGCCTCTGTGGAGGCAAAATTTCTTATTTCATGATTTGCTATGGCTTACTTAATGCTGATTTCCACAGCACCCAGCAGAGTTTTGATAATATTATTTTCTTGCTTTTGTGTGTTTTCCTGTGGATTATTCCTTGCAAATAATGATGTTCACACCTCCAGGAGGAATGATTTCCAATTCCGAAATGGAGACTGTCAATATTTAAAACTTGGTGATTATGTAAATTTAATCAAACTTTCCTCCCTGGCAAAGTATGTTACCATCCTTTTAAAATTCATTCAATGCCTCATTTCTACCACCACCCCAATAGAGTAGGTTGGTAGTAGGTTGCTGTATTTTTAAAAAGTACCATCAGGACAGCTGTGGAATGGTCCAGATTCAGCACAGGTGTCCATCTGCCTGGCCAGGTGGCTTTGCTGGCAGCATACCTTTGTTCCCTGCATGCTCCTGTGGCTTCCTGGGCTTGCCTTCCTTGAAGAAGCATCTATTCTTTGGATCTTTCCCATCTCTTATTATCCCAAATGGAAATGATGGAACATTTAGAGACCTCAGAGTCAGGAATGAGCCTAATAATACAATTACTGGTTGAGGAAAAAAACATGGACAAACAACTCACAGCATGGACAAACAGCGTTTTCTTAGTCTGGGGTATAGCATCTTTAGAAAATTTTTGTTATTTGTATTGATCTGTATCATATGGTGTAAATGAAATGAGTGTTCTTGCTGTGTAAACACAGCTTCCAGATGATTGTTTGAGACAGCATGCAGCCACTAAGCCCCTCCTGTGTGTAAACACTGGCTCTGCTTTAAAGCAATGGCTTTTAATTGATTTTTGGATTATAGATCCTATTGAGACTGATAAAAGTTGCAGATCGTCTGCAAGAAAAAAAAATACAATGACACCCAGGACTTTGCACACAATTTCATGAAGTTTACATAGACCCTGAAGCCAGGTTAAAGCAAAACAAAACAGTAAAAAGCAAAGCAAAACAAAACAGTAAAAATCCTTCTGAATAAGCTCAGACGCTCTCTAGAAAAGAAAACCAAGCTCCAGAGAAATTTGGTCGATTTAATCTATTTAGCAAGCAAATAACAGAACTGAAATTAGAATTCAAGAATTTCAGTTAAATATTGCTTTTTTTCCCCCCAAACTGTAATGACTTGCTCTTGCTATTATATTATTATTTAAATATGCAGAGCCAGGGGTTATATTCAAAATATTGACTAGCCCTTATAGCTTGGGAACATAGCTAAGCACTGTAGCAGCAGCTGATGTAGCAGGCAGGGCCATGAGTCCCCAGTCAGCTGCTTTCTTCTCTGTGCACAGAAGGAGAGACTATCCAAGACTGAGTCTGACCTGCCCCCACCCCCACCTCAGAGCTCAGAGCTTGCCTGAACACCCGCTGTGAGCTCAGGGACCATTCTTTGAATAATGTGCAGTTTGAGGTTTGCTGGGAGACAGAGCAATTGATTCTGGTTTCTTAGGCAAGTGCTTCAGATTGAACAATTAAGTTTTGGGTGTGGTTGAAATCATGGTCTCCAGAGAGACCCATGCAGCATCATCAACCTGAAGGAAGACTCAGCCACAGGGACACCTACAGTGGATCTCTGCTGTGGTTTACAGTTTCAGCAGGATTGTTTCTAGAAGGAAGATGTCCATCCTCTTAGGGTTTGAGAACAATTATTAACCATTCGATGGGACTCAGGACCCATCTAATGCAAATCCAGTCCCATTTGCCTGCCTTTCTGCCCCTTCTGTTTCCCTTTTGTAATTATAGAAACAGTCTTAAAGAGGAGAAGCAAACTCAAGTTATGTGCAGAAACTCAGTTCTTGTGTTCCAAGCTTGGCATTATTCATAACATTTCTTGTTTATTTGGACTTCATGATGAAATGCCATCTTTATACAGAATTTTTCTTTAGCTGCTTCCTACACTACAGTCTGCCCTTCATACCCACAGGCACTTCAAACAATTGCAGTTTGAACATATTTTTTAAAGACTTCCATTTGTATGAACATGTGCAGACTTTTTTTTGGTATTATTTTTTTGGTTATTATTCCCTAAATAATAAAATATAGCACTATTTTCATAGCACTGACATTGCATTAGGTATTATAAGTAATCCAGAGAGGACTTAAAGTTCAAAAGAGATTTGTGTAGGTTATATGCAAATACTATGGCATTTTATATAAGGGACCTAAGTATCCTTGGATTTTGGCTTCCTAAGTGGTCCTGGAACCAATCCCCCACAGATACAGAGGGACTACTATATATTCTCTTTTACTGCTGTATATATTTAATGACAAAACATTTTATTAGAAGTCTCAAGTCCACAGATTCAATGGATCAGGAACCTTGAAAGGAAGATAACAACTACCTCCTGAAAATACACCTTCTTTGGCATGCTTTGTGTGTGTGTGTGTGTGTGTGTTATTTATTTTTTAAATACACAACAACAGTGGAATGCATTACAATCCTTATTACACATATAGAGCACAATTTTTCATATCTCTGTATATAAAGTATGTTCATGCCAATTAATGCCATTATACATGTACTCTTTTTTTGCATTACAATTCTTTTTCATATCTCTGTTTGTATATAAGCCATGTTGGAACCAAATTCAAATCTTCATACATGTATTTTGTATAATGATGATCATTACATTCCACCATGCTTGCTAATCCCCTCCCCCCTTTCCCTCCCACCCCTCTTCCCTATCTAGAATTAGTCTAATCCTCCCAATACACCTTCTTAAGTAAATTTTCTTTCATTTGCTATGGGCAAAATTGTTTGGGACTGGATATGAGCTAAACTCCTAATCTCAACACTGTTGCAAAGGATTGTTCTATGGCTAGGACTGTAATTTGTCCCAGGATACATGCAACTCTGAGAGATTCCAAAGCATTTTATTGTGGAATTTTATTGCCCTAACATTTCCAAAAGGGCAAAGGAGACCTTTCCTCTGCTCTAGTGTTTCTCAACTTATTAACAGATATTAGCTTCCAGTGCTTTCTTCTTTTACCCTCTGAAGAAATCTGTCATTGAAACTTTGGAAACACAGATAAATGAGTCCATCCCCCAGCCAGTTTACTGCAATTCTTTTAATTGCAAAGTGACCCCATGCTGTTTGTCTTTCTATGACATTTTTTGTGCTCAAGTTGAGCTCTGGAATAGGTAAGGTTGTCTGGGTTGTATCAACAGGATTATCACAAATCCTCTCTTTAATAGCTCTGCAGGCATCAAAAGAGGAGCATTTCAGCTGCCTTACTCTTCTTATTTTTTAATATCTGCATAGGAAAACTAGAGTTTTATTTGCAAATGGATTGAACATGATGTGAGTTTGTTTCCCAAAGTAGAGACATAAATGGGCTACCTTATCTTTGCACTTTCCATTTTATTTATGTTTTAAAACAGGTGATTTTTTTTCTGATTATAAGAGATGTGTGTTCATTGTAAAAACTGGAAAATGAAAATAATAGCAAATGCATCTTCTGCAGTCTTACTGCCCAATTGCATTATAAGATGTTTATATTCCTTCCAGGCTTTTTTCTTTCTCTCAAGTTTTCAGCAGACTTTATATAAATCTTAACCTTTTTTAAAAATTTTAACATGAAAATATCTGTATTTTGCAATGTTTGAAGGTAATGTTCATCACCACTTGAGAGGCTACATAATATTCCATCCTGTGAGTGCACTATAATTATCCAGCAGCTATTTAGAATGTTTTAATTTTTTGCTGCTATAGACATACTGCTTTAAAGATTTCATGTATTAAATGCCTTCTTAGAAGTGGTATGGCTAGTTCAAAAGGTTCACTTTTAACGTTCTAGATGTAAATGACTGGTCTTCTTTCTAACATAGTTGAACCAACTGATGGTCTCTAACACATTGAAAATGTTTATGACATCCCAACTTCACTAGAACTGAAGTAGATAGAAATATATATATATATATATATATATATATATATATATATATACACACACACACACACACACACACACACAAGATATATTTGTATAACTTTACAGATAAGATGTTTCTTATTGTTATATCAACTTAAACATCTTTGATTGCAAGTGAGGTCAACTTTTATCCACATGGCTTTACTTGAGTATATTTGTTTTTTCTGTGAACTGTCTCTTCCAGTCATTTCCCTGGGTTGTACTTTGAGCCTGAAGCTGAGCACCTTGAGAATGCCATTGTATGCAGCTTGTCTCTCAGAAGCTGGTAGAACTACAATGCCATATATTGTCTGCCTTTCTCCCTATCAAGTGGATTCTGCCAGTCTTGGTTAGAGATGCATGAGTTTGGGCATTTCCTTGTATTTGAGCTAATGTAAGATTTTCCATTTATGACAGTGGATGCAGTCCTAAAGGAACCCCTGCAGAAATGGTGAATGTCAGTTACCTGCACTGGTCATTTGGAACCACTGAAATACTTTTCTGTCATCAGCCTGGAGCTCATTCTAAGAGGCAGACCGTCACTCTGAGGTGAGCACAGTGGAGGGTTCCTGAGCAGTTTCAGTTTAACATATGCCTGTAATGAGCTGCTGGCGCCTGAGGGTCCGCTTTAATTGGTGGCCTCCTTCTCCTCTTCTGCTCTCCTGCATGAAAATCATCCTGGGACGTGTAAATGGAGCTTTCTCCAGAGCCTCCTGCTCAGTGTTCTCTCTGAGAAATAAAAGCTCCATTTCACGGGGCTTAAGTAAATGGAAATATTTGACACTTGGCATTTCCCAGCTTCGTGGAAAGAAAGCAAAGAGAGATGAAGGTGGGAAGGGCTGAATTATACTGCAGATATTGTCACCTGTCACATGTCACCTCACTGGTGCAGCATTCCTCCCAATTTTGTGTGTGTGTGTGTGTGTGTTTCCTTGATTAAATGATTTCAGAAAACTTGTTGATTAGATGAAGAAAGCTCAGGGACAGAGAGAACAAAGAATGAAGTGATTCAATATTAAAATTTAGAAAGTTGGTGTGATTATTTCAACTCACTGCATTCTGAAACATCCGGAGTTAAAAACAGATGTGCCATCCTTGTTGAACTTATGATGCCAAAACTTGAATCAGTCATTTACTGTCCATGTTTTTAAGAAATTGAGGGCTGGGAGGAGAAACAATTTACCCAGCTCTAAAGAGACGTTGAACTATTGGTTTTCTGTTTCTTTGCAACTCATTTTTGGGGATACTTTTAGATTTTATGATCCACCTTTAAAAGGAGACATGGATTGAGGTATTTTTCCACCTTAGGACCTAATCTGTTTGTAATTTACTGCTAGTCCCCTTATGACCTAGGACATTGCCTGTCTGAGATGATGGCTGGTTTAGGGGTGTGGTCTGTGATATGGGAGCAGTTTTCCGCTTTATGAACTCAACAGGCCTGTACAAAGACCAGATCCCAGGTTTCCTTTATGAGTTCCACATGCTCGCTGTTCAGATGCAGTCACAGTCTCCCTTTGACCCCCACTCAGAGCTGTATATTTCATGATTCCCCACCATACAGCTTCGCATCTGATGTTAGTTTGGGTTGATACCCTACATTAAAAGAAGTTGAGGTATCTGTTTACCAGCAGGAAGTCTTAGAAACTGGAGCCCCATAAAGAACTTAGATCAGGAGGCCAGGTCAAGGGCAAGAAATTAATTCATGAGTTTTATAACTAGAAGGCACCAACTTTATGTGACTGGGTGGTTTCTTATGCAATAGAAGGTAGATACTAAAAAAAAATATTGGAAAATAAGAGAAATGAAGGAAGAAAAGGACAAGCAGAAGAGAGAGCAGCTTTCCAGGTTGAAGGTCTATGTATTAACGTCCCATTGTGTTGTCACAAATTGCTGCCACAGATTACCACAGACTTAATAGCTTACAACAATGCAAATTTATTCTTTCACTGTTCTTGAGGTCAGAGGTCCCACAGTGGGTTAGCAGGCCGAATTCCTTCTGGCTGTTCTAGGGGAGAACCAGTTTCCTTGCCTTTCGAGCATCTAGAGGCTGCCTGCATACTTTGGCTCATGGCTACCCTCCGTACTCTAAGCCAGTGGTGTAATACCTTTCTATCTCCATCTTCATCCCTGTGCTTCCCTCATTTTGTTTAATAAGGGTCCTCATGATTACATTGATTCTTTCAGAATAATCCAAGATAATCTGAAGATCCATCTGAAGATCCAAAGTCCCCTTGGCCATATGAGAAGCATATTCATAGGTTCTGGAGTTTAGGAAATGAACATCCTTGGAGAGTCATCATTCAGTCCCACAGTATGATAAGTCGGAGGTTCAGGGTGGGACAGTAAGCCAATCAGGTCTCCTGCCATCATATCTATGAGGTGTCTCCTATCATTTCTATCTCCTCAACCAACACCCAGGCATGAACCCAAAGACATGCATACACACCAACACACACACCTGTACACAGACACACACATTCACATTTACATACATACACATATGTAGACCTAGAAAAGTTCTTAGTTAATATACTTTTAAAATTAAAGATTACTAAAAATTGAACAGAAAGTACAAAGAGTTCCAATATGTTCCTTTATTCCTCTCAGTTTCCTCTATTCTTAGTATATTCCACTTGTTATAACTGATGAAAAAATACTGGCATATTATTACTAACTAAAGTTCATAGTTGAAATTAGGGTTCACTTCTTATGCTGTACATTCTATGGATTTTTGACAAATGTATAATGACATGTATCCACCATTACAGTTTCACATGGAGTAATCTCACTGCCTGACATATTCCATGTGCTCTGGCATGTCTTTAAAAAGTTTCCTTTTCTGTGAATTTAAGTAAAGTTTTGGACCCTTTTGTATAAATCAATATATGGATTCCACAAAACTTTATGGCCTAGTATTCTTGAGTGTGCTTTACTTCATCTGCATCTATATGCGATGAGCTCAGAGTAGGAGCTTCTATACAGGGATTTGTTTTCTGCTCTGGAGCCAGAGGTATGCTGGAGCCAGTTCATAGTCACCTTTGAGATACTACTGCACAAATCTCTTTCCAACTCTGAATTCAGTGAGGTCAAGCTGATAGTTTGAAACAGCCATGGTAGAAATATCAACACCATGAAAACCAGCTCATTATCAGTTCTTTCCCCAGAGAGTTAGTCATTTGACATTGGCCAGCACGCTTCTAGAAATGTTCCATTTGCCCCCTTCTTCATGGATGGAAAATGGCAAGAGTAGAGGTTTTGCCTGCGATCCAGAGATGGAAGCCACAGTTTGGTCATGATTGTGTCAAGTCTGTGGCCTGTGTCCTTGCTGATGTTATAGGGCAGGGCCTGGATGGGTCACCTATGAACTTATTCAAGACAGCAATCAACTTCTTTCTTCTTTGAAATACTGCATTGTATTTTAGGATATTTTTGTTATAATAGCATACGCTATACCCATTGAATAAAGCCAGCTCTTTTTTTCCTTTTATACTCTCTCCACCGATGCAGTATGAGAATGTACATAAGATGTACCTATTATTACCTTCTATCATCCATTTCACAAATAGAAGCCAGAGTAAGCTTTTAAAATACAAATCAAATCATGCCACTTTCTTACTTAAAAACTTCCAATGGTTTCTCATTGAACTTAGAATAAAACCTAGACTATACAACATGATCTAGCTCCTCCCTATTCCACCAGTCTCCTCTTCTGACTTTCCTCGCTCTCACTTATCAAGTTCTAGTTATGGTAGCCTTCTTTCTGTTTCTAACATATGTCAAGATTTCCCATATTTGGCACCTTGTATTCACCATCTCTTCTGCTAGAAATGATGGCTGACTCCTTGTCATGTAGGTCTCAGCTCTTCCCTGAACCATCCATCGGAAGGGATCCCTCTTACTGCTTTTATTTTCTAACCCTGTGTTTTTTTCCCCCATAGTACAATATAGATTTGTCACTACCTGTGAGGATTTTGTTTATTGATTGAGTTGCTTGCTTATAATCCATCTCTCCCCAGCTAGATCATCAGATCTGTGAAGGGAAACATCCATCTGTTGTATTCACTTTGAGATTGTGTGTGCTGGTGTACAACCACTGTAGACATTCAATAAATATCTGTTAAGTGAATACATGTTTGTCTAACAGAACAGCATCGACCTCTGTTCTCAGTGAGCTTACAATCAATCTGCTGGTGCCCCTGAAGCCAGACTGCCAGCGAGATTGGAGGAATTTCACATGGCCCATTCTGTGACACAGATGGTAGGAACAAATTCCAGTTTACAAACTGAGAATCACAATACCAAAGCAACCCAGTGTATTTGGGTAAGTTAAGTGAGTTTTTCTTAATTTCTAACTAACTGTAGTCCTTTTCTTTCGACCTTAGAGAATTTCATGAGAAGGTGAACAGAAAAAATTGTTGTTCAGATTCTCATCAAAAGTTTGTTAGAAACCAGGGATGATTCTACAGCTATTGATGTCCAAATGGGGACGGAGACAGGAGGACAATGACTTTTGTGAGCAATGGCTAGCCCAATTCTGTTGATTTCTTCCAAATGTCTTTCCTGGTGATGCTGAAGTCTTGTATTAGCCACTGGAAAAGGGAGCTGATGAGACAAAATGTGGACCTGATGGTGGTTGCTGTACAGAAAACATTTCTTGACTTCCACTGGAACCCATAGGGGCTATCCTCTTCCAAGAGAGAAATGTCTTTAGAAATCTTTGCACTTTCTTTATTCTGGGGCTCCTGACAGTCTCTGGCACTCCAGGTTCAGACGTGCATAGAAACCTCCTTCTCTCCTGAATCAGGGTGTCCTCCATTAGACTACAGAATCCCACAAAATATGCAAAGAGCTGTCTCTTGCTGTGTTGCTTCTCCTTATCCTGTACTCAGGAAAGGGAGAATATCTCCAGGCACCATTTAAGCTGTCATTATGACAGTGGAGGGGTAGATTTGCCAAATGACTGTCATCAGTGGGGAGGCCAGAGGTGCCTTTGATGAGAGACTTCTGCTCAATCCCCAGGTTCCCTCGAGTGATGCAGATCTCAAACTCTGGGGAACAGGTTAGTTACTCACTAGCTGATTCTTCCAGATGGTGAGAATGAGTAAGAGTTCTCTTTTTAGGGTCTGTCTGAACCCACTCACGGAAATAGGTAGTGCATGTTTAGGTCCACCAAGGCACTTCCGCTCACGGGGGAGTTAGCCATGAGCAGCCCTGGGAATTTAGTTCTCTTTCCTTCATTACCATAGAACGGATGCTCAATATAGATCCCTGTCCCTCATGACAAACCTGTCAATGGGCTCTCGTGACAAGGAAATACAGAATGAGAGAGTCCACTGGTTGGAAACTTTGCAATAGGTTCTCAAACTTTGGACATTTACATTTATGATTTATGTTTCTGTTTGTGATGGAAAACAGTAATTGAAAAAATTAACACAACAGAGCTTTATAAATTTTTCAGCATTTCAGACAGAAATTTGCCTCCCTCCCCCATTATTCCAAGTGGCAAACACTTGGTATGTGGGTTTCACTTCTTATACCTCTACCACAGC